TAATTAATTAATTAATTAATTAATTAAAATTAATTAGCCTGTGAGGCTTGCTTGCAGAGAGGTTTTTTTGGCGGCTCGGTGCATAGCGGAATTCGATCATTTGAACCCTACGCAAATTAAGTAGAGTCAAAAATGCAAAGCACGAGATAAAATGTTTCGCATTTGCTAAATTCTGCATTCGCACTTTACGTAACCGAATTGCCACTTGCTTGCATTTTGGTGCCCACTTTAATGTCTCTGGATTCAAAAACAAAAGTATTTGTCTACTTCTCCATATTGGAAGAAATATGGCTACCGAGATATTTTTAGGGGTGCATTTTTGAACACTGGGTGCACTATTAATAAACCATTGCAATCTGCATCCTGCTTTGTTGTTACTTGTTTCTGTATGCCATTTCCTTTTTGGCAGTCTACCCACTCTCCTTTCCACGGCTTCTTTCTCCTCTGGTGTCCTTATGCATTGTGAATTTGACAACCAAATTAAACCCTGGTGGATTAGCGATGTCCTATTTAAATATCAATATGCCAGCAAGTTTCCCGTTGCAGCCTCCCGACACAGATTTTGTACCCTTTTTCCAGAGCCATCTCTTCTTCACAGCTCTGTTCAAAACCACCGGCTTCATTTACCCAACCGCTCTCTTTTTTCTCCTCACGACACCTCAGCATGTCTCCTTGCAGAAAAAAAACCCACAGCTCTTTGGAACAGGAATTGTGCCACTCTAGGGTTTAATCCCTGTGCCAATTGCCACCTACACTCAGTATTTTGAGAACTGTTAGACGTGTGAGAGTTAAAGCTGACTACTAGATGAATTTTTACCTCTGAAATGAAGTCTCAGTCGAGAGGCACAGGTTGGTTGAATGCATTGGCTTCTGGAAGGTATGGCTTAACATTTCACCCCTTGTTTTTACATTGTCTAAAATATTTTTTCAAATCCATTTGCGCTACATGGTGGTTTGATTTCAGAGGGTTTTTAAAATCCATTTACGTGCCTTGTTTCAACAGCCATTTTTTCCCCGAATGGACTTTTTTCCCTCCATGGAGGAAAAACAGCATTCCTGTTATGTAAAAAAAAAAGATTAAAATGCTGACAAGCTTTTATTTTCTCTAGAGGTGACGGGCATTTCTGCAGACAACCGGAAGCCCTCTATTCCATAGATCAATCAGCTCAGCCGCCAGAAAGGATATTTCAGCTAGTCGAAAAAGTCAACCCCTCTGTGTTCTGCCTTCAGACCTCCAACTGTAAGTGGAAGAAACCAAAGCCTCGTTGAACATGTCACTCTGAGGATAAGTAAAACTGATGGGATAGATAGTACTTGAGGGGAGTTCAACAGTGGTTGAAAAAAACACATCACTTGTTGACGGTGAGTGGCCATCTAGATCAGCCTCTCCAAATCTGACAACTTTGCAACTGGTGGACTTCATCTCCCAGAATTCCTCAGCCAGCCAAGTTTGGAGAGCATATGAAATATTTAAATTCAAATAAAATGGCTTTTTCTTCCCCTGATCATGTCCAAGACTTGCAACATCAGTACGAATCCCCCATCCTGAAGAGCCAAGCCAAAAGGTGAAGCTTTATTGTTCCTTTGATTTGATTTGATTTATTGCATTTCTATCCCGCCCTATTCCCAGAGGAACTCAGGGCGGCTCACAAACCAAAGTAGGAGGGGGGATACAAACAAGAGGAAAACAACGGACAAACAACTACAACAATTTAAAAACAATCAACAACCACACAATTCGAGCGGGAACGCGGAACTCGTCAGCCCCAGGCCTGTCAGAACAGTGTATTTCCTTTGGTTCACCGACAAAATGGCGAACGACAAAACCGCGCCCGACTAAACTGCATCACTGACGTCATCAAGAGGGCGACAACAGCGCAGAGACAGAAGCACGCTGTCAAACCTAAACCTAAACTTAACCCCTAAACCTAACCCTAACCCTTAACCTAACCCTAAACCTAACCCTTACCTTAAGTTGAATCGGCTTTCTTTCAAAGCGCTATTTAAAGCACCCTTCTTTCTCCGCGCTGGCTGTTGTCGCCGTGTTGATGATGTCAGCGACGCGGTTTAGTCGGGCACGGTTTTGTCGTTCGCCCTTTTGACCGGTCACATTTCCTTTCATTTCTGAAGCGAGAAAGGTAGCCAGGGGTAGCAATTAAGATGTTGAAAAACAAGAAGCAAGGTGTGTTTTTTTCCCCCCCATACAATCACAATGCTCAGGACATGCAGGGATCTCGCTCCGAAATGCCCCGGTGCAATGGGATGGGCTACACTTCTCAAAATTAACTTTCTTTTTTTTTTCTTTTTGCAGATAAAGCTGGCCTCTCCTTCCAAGCTCCAGAAATACCCACTCCGCAGAATTTCGACAGGCTCCTTCAAGAATTCGACAGGGGCAGCTTTGCTACTGGACAGGATCTCGTGATGGAAGCGGAGCCAGGGACCCCGCGTGAGGCTGGTGCAAACGACACCAGCAGATACAAAGTAAAGAGCTCCTCTTTGCACATCCCGTCTCTTGAAGCCCCTTTAGATTTTGGTCCAGGGGAGCTTCACATGCTTGTCTAACTTCTAAGCAGTTTCCCTAAGGCTGATTCTCGGGGCTGGAGAAGGAAGCAAAAGCTTCCCAGGGATGAACGGGGACTGTGGATCTTCTTCCTGGTGGAAAACGAAGTTTCTCTTCTTGTCCTTTGACAGTTTAAGGATCTCATTCAAACCACTGACGGCTTTCTGAGGCTGCCGGCTCCACTTTTTTCCCACTGTGCGCATGAGAATCCTGCAGGTCAGTCAGAATAGCTTCTTCCTTCTGGAGCTACTCCTGGGTTGTTGTCTGGGGACAGGCACTCGGAATAAAATGTCCCGTTGTGCTCTGTTTTTCTCGACTACGGGATCTCCCATAGGCCCCATCTTACCCTCCCGAAAGAATCCCAACAAGACGGCTCTGCCGAAGGGGTTTTGTCTGGCTTCACAATTTTGTGTGTGTGTGTGTGAAGGATTTGTGTGTCTTAAGAGTTGCCGTAGGAACTTTGAAAGGAAGGCCCAAATTTAGTGGATGTGGATGAAATACAAACATGAGGTTATACAAACCCCTCCTGAAGAAGCCATCGTTAGATCCAGCCATTTTAAATAACTTTCGTCCTGTCTCCAACCTTCCCTTTATCGGGAAGGTTG